TGTGCTGCTCGGATCTAGAAAACAAAGAGCTGATACCCACTGGGACCTGAACAGCGCATTTCAGCAGACTGGCAGTTTGCTCTGTTGAGAACAAGGCAGGCAAGGGTACCACACCAAGTAATTAAGAAAGGTGAATGAAGAGTGGTGTGGCTTTCAATATTGTTGTAGCTGATGTTAAGATGAAGCTCACTATTTGGGGATTCCCGTAGCATATACAGGGTCCCTCTGGGACACTGTAAAATGCTCCATTCAATTCTTCACTCCCTCTCCCTGCTCCTAAGTTTTAGTGATCTCATCTGCTTTTTGCTAATTTTCACTGTCCAAATGAAAAACGCAGAATAAGACAAGTGTCCCCTCCTCCAATGGATGTGTCAGCATGTTTGCAGGAATCCTGGCTGCTGGATCCTGGGCACTGACTGGCTGCCTAGCAGAGAATGAGGCAGCTCTTTATAGCCCTTGCCTGGGTGGTCTGATGTTATCCCTGTGATTAAAATCCACGGCTGCAAGAATTGGAGCTATTCCTGATGATAGTTGGGACCTGAAATCTCACACTCTCCCACACACAGAGAGGGTCGGAGCTCCCACCAGRTTTCCCCTCCTTGTCTTCCTCCTCCTCTTCATTGAGCTGGCCAATTCAACACATTCTTCAGTTACCTAGCATTAATAACTACAAAGTACTACGGACTGTTAGACATCAACTGCTGCCCCCTCTCTCCAGGCAGTGATAGGGACCTCACACAGATACAGTACTGCAGAAGAAAACCTTCATTTTACCTCACAGCATACTTCAGAAAGAAGTAGCATGCTATTCACAAAAAAAAAAAAAAATATACATATCCAGGATCCAGCCTGGATTAAAACACACATCATGTGTGTACATATGTCCTCCCTGCAGAAAGTCCTGCAATGCAAACACATGGAAATATTTTATGCTAAGCACACATTAAATAAAGACTATAGGATTAAAGCCTGCCATGGATCACAACAGAAGGAAAAGTAGGCTGGATTATTTCGGTCACAATCTTCATCCATCTGTCCATCAGGAAARGCCAATTGCTTACATCAGGTACAGGGAAAAAAACCCTCTTAGTTCAGCTGTCCAGAAGTCACAAAGCAGCCAGTAAGCTGGCTCTCAACATCACAAATCAAGGCAAGAAAGGTAAGTAAGGCCTGCTCCAATGAAAGGAGCCCACTGAACTATATCTTCAGSCCTCATTCCCCAACTCACCACCAACATACCTGCCTTGTTTCCCCAAGAGTACTGTCGCCATCTTAGGCTCATGCGAGGCAATGGGCAAACTGAACAAGAAAACTTCAGGAAGTTGAAAAATTTTATTGTTAACATGCACAGTTAACCACTACACTATACAAACTGATGAAGACATACATTAATGCTGAATATTTATCATAAAATCACAAAATCTTTTGGGTTGGAAGGGACCACAAAGATCATCTAGTTCCAACTGCCACTTGCATGCTCAGGGACACCTTCCACTAGATGAGGTTGCCTGAAGCCCAATCCAGCCTGGCTGTGAACACTTTCAGGGATGGGGCAGCCACATTTTCTCTGGGGAACCTCTTCCACTGTCATACCATCCTCACAGTAAAGAATTTCTTTCTAATATCCAATCTAAACCTAGTGTCAGTTTAATGCCATTACCCCTTCTCCTACCACTGCATGTCATTGTAAAAAGTCTCTCTCCACATTTCCTGCAGATCCCTTTTAGGTACTTAAAGGCCACAATAAGGTCACCTCAAAGCCTTCCCTTCTCCAGGCTGAACAAACCCAGCTCTCTCAGCCTGTCTCCCTAGGAGAGGTGCTTCAGCACTCTCATCATTTTGGYAGCCCTCCCTAGACTCACCGCAGTAGGTCCATGTCCCTACTGCACTGAGGATCCTAGAGCTGGATGCAGCACTGCTCTCCAGAGCAGAGCAGAGGAATCTCCTCCCTTACCCTGCTGGCCATGCTGCTGCGGATGCAGCTCAGGAAACATTTGGCTTTTTGAGCWGTGAGTGCACATTGATGGGTCATGTCCAGCCTCTCATTTGCTAGCATCCACCAACACACCCTTCTCTGCAGGGTTGCTCTTGATTTGTTCATCCCCCAGCCTGTGTTGCTACTGGGAGTTGCCCTGACCCAGGTGCAGCACCTTGTACTTGGCCTTGTTAAACCTCAAGAGATTCCCATGGTCCCACTTCTCAAGCTTATCCACATCCCTCTGGATGGCATTCTGCTGACAGTGCGCCTGATGCAACAACATCCCTGATGAAAACACTGAAGAGCACTGGTTCTGATTCAGACCAAATCATAACACAACTACAGACTGCCATACTCAAGTGTGTCCTTAAGGCAACATCTTTCCTGGTATTCYCATTAAAGAAAAGTTCACCAAAAAGCCACATCTTTTCTAGTCAAAGACAGACTAATGCTGCTCCTATTTGCTCTCTATTCATCTGATGTTTCAGAAGTGAATGGAGAGGATTGACAAGACAGAAAGCTGATATAATCACAAAAATCCTGTTTTCCTAAGAGGACATATTTTAAACATCTTTTTCAAAGTTCATCAGATACTTACACTTCAGATCTTCCCTTTGAACTGCTAAATATTTTAGCAGTAAATAAYAAAATAGTATCAATTATAGCAATACAATTATATCAATAAAAAGAAATGAATAATAAACKAATTTAATACAGAGGCTAGAAAACAAGAACATAAAAGAGGAAACATGAAACAGGTGCTGGGGGTATGGGTAGGAAACAGTGAGGAACAGCAGGGATTGGAGGGCAGAGGTGGACTCCAAACATCATTGCAGGCACAGCTGCTGAGGCTACGCACCTGAGAGCTCCAGACCCCCACACTACTATATGCATACCAGAAGCAATTCTCACAAAAATGGGAAYGGCAAATAAGCTTCCCAGCTGCTTTTGGAAGGACGTATGTACTCAGAGCACCCCAGCCTCCAAGGCACAGCTTGGCACAACACACAGAACCAATGCATAAAGACATTCAACTCTCACACAGAAGTTCTTGCCCTTGGGGGAAAAAAAAAGCCAAACAAAAMCCCCCCACAAAAATACAGTCCACAGCAATAGTAGTATTTTCAAGTCATTCTTTCATATACCCTCTCCARATCAATGGTCCTAATCTTATCATAAAACATAATTAAAAATCAAGTCCTTTTCCTACCAGCCAGGTACTTTCCAACAAGGTAGACCAACTCCAAGTTTCTGGAATGGCTTTAAATAATTCTACTATTTTTATTACTAGATAAGTAATGTTCTCATCTTCATGCCAATTTACTTTAGAATGCTTTTTAAAAAATACTATCATATTTCAAGGGGTTTAAACAGAAGAGTGAAAAGAGGAAAATAATTCAGAATCTCCTGTCTAGAAATGAATGGGAAAGTAGTGCCCTGTTTAATTAACCAAACCTGGATATAAGCCCTATCACTACTCTTCTCTCAGTTTTCAATCCCTTAACTCTCCTGTCCTAAAGCCACCAGAGTTTCAGAATCCTCAAACACTCCCATCTCGAGCCTTTCCCCCTTTCATCTCATACCAATAGTCTTTGACTTCCCAATTCTCTCCAGGCGGTTGCTAAATCCKCTCCCACATATTTCTCTGCCTCATCTGCCTCTATCTTCCCTCTCCTGATTCAGGCCAAATCCTGGTCTATAACCACACAGCTTTAACAGTATCTACTCTTTTGCAAATTACTTTCCAAACTGCCTACTCTGCAATGCCTGCACTTCTATTTATTCAACGTCCCTGCTTCAAATCCATATCCATGCCTAGCAGTTCAAAGCCAGATATCCTGGTTCCAGGTCCCTCAACAACAAGCCCAAGCCTTGCTGCCATACCATTATGCTTTTATTATGTATTGATAACTTTTACTCCCCTTATTGTCAGGGCAGCCCTGTCTTCTTATAAAATCCCTGCATCCTTCTTGCAAGAAGACTTTAAAACCTARGCCAGATCAAAAAATTCATGAGAATGACTTGTTAATGAGGGACAGAAGAGTAGAATGTGTCCAGGTTAAAAAAAAAAAAAAAAGTATAAGCAGTAACTGCATGCTTTAGTAGTAATCCATTAGGCTTTGCAGCTACATCTGAACCTTCCAAAACATTACTGCTTCAAGTGTGCTTACAGTAATGGTCTCAGCTCAGAAATTACTATGTACCATAAATTCAACACTAAAGAATCAAATTGCCTTAAAAGCTGTTCTCAACTAAATCCAAGTTTTCATATTAGGCAAGCTTCACATTCAGATTTCYTCTCTCCAAAGGCATTATTTTAAAAACATGCCCAGCAGAATCATAACAGAGAGCAGATGTCTAGAACTGAATGGATACAGGCTCAGGAAGGTAACTCACTGTCAGATAAAACTCCAGCTCTAAACTTTTCATTGACTCATTAATTCTTTGCTGCATGGCTCTTTTTCATGATGACAGAAGACGACAATGACACAACCCAACCCATGTTTCTGTATTTCACTGCTGAAACAAAGCCTGTGTGAACATTGCATAGTTGAACTCAAAATATAACAGTCAGACAATCTGCAGTCGCTGCTAGGAGCTGAGGTGTCTTTTGTTTCCTTTTTACAAAGAAGGGAATTAGCACCATCATTCTCCTACTATACACTGTGATGACACACTGGAGGAATGAGGAAGCAAATTGCATTGAAGCACATTGCATGGAAGCACAAATCTGAGAAGACTTGCTTTTATTATGTAATAAGTCAAGGCATGGATTTAATTTTTTAGAATATACTTGCTAATCCTCTGCCTTTTCTCCTATAAAATGAMTTCAGCAACATTCTTGTCATCTCACAGAAAATCAAAATTCTGGTGACCGTAAACACTTTAAAACAACAGCATGACAGAAATAAATTTTAATGAGATTTGCTCCTTACAGCATCTCAGCTCAGCCCAGTGCTGACACAGAAGCCTGTAACAAACTTCTCCTTTGCACAGCCWCTCTACTTTAGTGCTTACATACCTGCTGTGTAAGGAGACCGACGTGGTTTGCTGGGGAGTTCTGGCAGGCTGCTTGCTTTTCTGCCAACTGCTGCAGTTCTGCTGCTACCACACTGGGGCCATGACGCTTGCCCTGGGGAGTATGTTCTGCATCTTTGTGCATCCTGGCAGGGCCCACACACTGCCCACTTGAATTGCGATGGCACAAACCTAGCAAACAAACATTGCAATGTGCTTCATGAGCAACGTGTCAGACTCTCTCAGCCTGTTGATCACAGACACACAAAAGCAGAGAGAATACCAAGAATACAGAATACACCTACTCTGCATGGGTATTGCTCATATGAACAATTAGCAATTCTAAACCCATATTCTCTTTATTACCATGTATCTAATGGTACCCAATTCCAGAGACATTGGCAGCTGCTACCCAAGTTAAAGCGGTAATGTTTTTCCTTAAAGACAAATTGATCTCTTTAAATAAACTACTCAGTTGGGAAGTAAGATTTATTTTAATGCTAGGAGGGTTGTGTCAATACATATACTGCAATCCTAAAGAACATGTGCTGACCATGACACACAACCTAGAACAAATACATACCATCATTCAGAATTCAAAAATGTAAGTATTATCAGGACCACAGCTGTCAGCCTGGGTGTGGTTCCCAAAAGGTTCCTAATAGATTACTGTCTGCATGCAAATTCCTACAGTTTCTTCTACCCTTCAGATTCTTCACACTCTAAAGCTGCATTGCTCAACTGTGTTCTACCACAGCATGMTAGATGACACCTCTCTAAATCTTGTTTTTAGTATACCCTTGGATATGGCAGTGCTGAAACACCCCAGAGAATGAGATACTGTAATGATTCACTCAGATCCTTCTTTTCTGGAGGCCTTGATACATCGTTAAGTATTCAACACTTCTGAGGTTTCAGGACAAGATTTCTATGCTTGATAGACAACCAGAAAACTAGGAATGGCACACAGATTGAGACAGGACTACTGCTAATGAAAACAACATTAAACCCACTAAACACAGGTGAGATCAGTAAAATAATAAAGAAAATATACAGTACTTAACTTCACAGCTCTTTCTGAACAAGTTCAAAGGCTGAGTTCAAAGCACAAGGCTGAGGGGAGACCTTATCACTCTCTAACTTAAAGGGGTTTTTGTGAGGCAGGGGTCGGCCTCTTCTYCCAAATAACAAGCAATAGGATAAGAGGATATGGCCTTAAGTTGCACCAGATGGGGTTTAGATTGGATATTAGGAAAAGTTTCTTCACCAAAAGGGTTGTCAATCAGTGGAACAGGCAGCCCAGGAAGTGTTGAGTCACCATCCATGAAGGTATTTAAGACATTCAGATGTGTCTTGGGGACACAGTTTAATGGTGAACTTGGTAGTGTTAATTGTTGGACTTGGTGATCTTAAAGGTCTTTTCCAACCCAAATAATTCTATGACTGCCTGTTCATCTGGTGAATAAAAGGGCATCTTTGGCTAACAAGGGCTGCATCTTGCACTCCTGCTTTCTATGAGAAATTTAGCACCATCCAAAAAGACTCAATTCTGGAAATGTAAAATTTCTATCTACACCACAACAGAAATTACACAATCTCTGTACTGAACTGGCAGGTTATTATGAATCCCAGAATACTCACCTACTTTTACAGACGATGGTCGGGACAATCTTTGGCTGTAGATCTGAGCAGCTCTCTGAAAAGATGAGAATGGGCCAATGGTATAGCTACCAGAACGACAACGATGTGACCCTGAAAGGCTACAAGTCTCAGTGGACACTGGGTTTGTGAGGACAGAAGAGCTGTCAGAAGCTGTGCTCTGCAAGGAAGGTAGTGGGGGTGGGGACTGAGTCAGTCKGAGACCAGCTGGAGGAGCCGGCAATGAAGGGTGTCCGGCTGCCTTTGAATTTTCAGAAGCTGCAGGCTGAGATGGCATCCAGGAACTGTTACTTCTCTGGAACATGGCACCAGGAGCAGAGGAACAAGCACCAGGAGGGCTGCACCAAGGTAATTTCAYGTCAGCATTTAAGGAGAAGGTGCATCCTTCTGGAACTACACAAAGATAATGAACATACTATATGAGAAAAAGCTGCATTTTAGGTCCTTTTATAATATCAACACACCAAATGCCTGTATTCAGACACACTGAAGCCAAAATGACTTCTTCTATCAGTAGAGACAAGAAGAGACTCTACACAATAAGTATCCTCTTTCAAAGCTTGCCATATCTAGATCTTACCCCCCGCCAGTGAAGGGCAGCTAACTTTTTCCTACTGCTTATGTCACAGTATCTTCTCTTGTGTTTAAAGGTAAAACTGAAGAACTTCAGGTGAAGTTAAAACTGAAGAACTTCAAAATTGGTCATTTGAATCTCTCAGTTTGAACCCAAAATTCCAACCTTTGCTTAAAACAGTATTAAACCACTATATGCATTCGATATTTTTTTCTTGATGATCATCCAAGTCAGTTCACTTACAGCTTGATCTAGCTTCTTTGGGTTTATAGCCTTTTAGTGCTCCTTCTGCAGTCAAATCTGCAGCTGAACTTTTGGGATGATCACCTTTTATTTTTTTCACCATCTCAGGATGCTCTGTAACAAAATCAAGGAGTTAAATAATAGCACATTAAAAACTGTGGTATCATTAGAACAARACTGCAGAATTCACCCTTGCTACAATTTACTTTCTTGCTAAGATTGCCTGTAGACCATGTAACTTTATGATGACAATTGTGCTGTCATGTACAGCATGTACAGTACTAATACATACACATGGCTGGTAGGCTTTTCCTTCCATGGAATGCTCAATTAGGCTCAAATACACAGTCTCTGCCCTCCAATGGATATATTCACTGTAGGCAGAAAAGTTCAACAGACTTTGATTTCATTCATCCCTTACTTTGATTTCAGGATTCTCTGTTCATTTCAATACTGACTGCCTGCAGTTTGCACAATCTCATTYCAGTCATGGTCTACCTTATAAATGTCAGTCTAGGTTCATCACATTTCAGTTCAGGCAAAGAAGGTAGGAGTGCAGTTACTCTAGTCTTCACATATTCACATAACACTGAGTTTATTAAAAAAAAAAAAAAAACCTCAAGAAACCTGAGAAACATTGTGGATGGGTTTTTCTCTTTCCACAGACTGAAGTTAAACTAGATTTGTCTGGGTAACATCATCTGACAGCTGCCTGCAAAACTTACCACCTTGGGGCTGTTTCTCTGACTGCTGGCTGCTGTTGCTGTGTTTTGTGCTTGTGGATTTTGTTCCTAGGAAGACGCTTGCTGATTTGTTTTTGTGTGTGTAAAATGTGAGTACTTCCTCCAGGTCACTTTCACTGCAATAATGAACAAGAATGGATGTAGAGTGAGGACACAAAGCTTTTCTGTATTCATGTAACAATCAAAGACAAGAATCCATAAGGAAACTGAAGAGGGGATTTGGGAAAAAAATGGTGACACTAGACAAGCTAATGATTTTCTCAGTTCTACAAGGTAAGAGCAGAAGGAATGCAACATGCCCTGGTTAAACCTGAGATTCCCACTAAAATACCATCTTCTGCAGTAGAAAATTCAAGGCATTCAGGAGCCTTCCTAGGATAAATAGAGCAAGTGAATACTCCAAACACATCTGGGGAGATTAGATTAACATGAGAATTCCATTCACAGCTAAATTTGTGAATCTTCACTGGGTGCTATTCAGAATAAGAAGGTATTTATTTTCTCATGAGAGAACTCAGCTCAGCCTCTGTTTTATAGTCACCATTAGTAGTTTCTATTCAGCAGYAGGGGCAGAAGAGGAAAGAAGGCAAAAGCTTGACAATTAGCCAAAACTGCAGGACAAACAAAACAGTCAATATTTTTGTGAAACTCACAAAACTTACATATGTTTCTCATTTTATTTACAAGAACAAAATGCAACAGCCCCAATATCCTAAACATCTATTGGTCCCAAACCAGCCTTAGTTACTTGGCCATTCCAATTAGAACTTCTTAATTAAGAAGCAACATTTACATTACCCATTTTCTGCACTGCTACATTCACTGTACTGCAGAATGAACAGTGAAAGTGAAAATCTATCCCCTTTGCTTGGCTCCAAATGACTTGTTCACTGATTCAAGCTTGAAGCACACTACCAAGTAGTGTCAGATACTAGTTTTCAAACATACCTGATACCTCATAAGAAGCGGAACGATCATTGCTAGAAATTGTCTGATCATTGGCAAACTATTCTATATCACCCAGACAAATAACCCAGGAAAAATCTCCAGCCACAGCCTGGACTGTGCATCAGGCCACAACAACATTGTAGCCAATAACATGAAAACAAAGGAGTTTGTTCCATACARCTATCTCTTAACTTTTCTGGCAAAAAGGAAAATTACTTGCCCTAGGACAGAGCAGACATTTTAGCAGTCYGAAGGGTCAGAGAACCAAGAGCGTGCCATGGGCCCAAGTAACGTAATATGCATTTCTAGCAAGAGCAGTAAATACTGTGGTATATGGTAGTCAGACATCTTTATCTGACAAGCAGCAAGATTTTTCTGCAACCCTGTAAATCTGTTGCAGTAATGACTCCATCAATTATACTAGCAAAAAGTGAAATACTTGTTTTCATAAGAATGTGATTATCAAGAGAGACTGTGAAACCTGTGAACTGCAACCTTAGTTAGGATGCCTCAGCTATCATCCACTTCTAATCATTCACTAAAAATGCTATCAGAACAGAGAAAAAGAATTAACAGTTTAATAAGTGGTCATAGAAAAGAAGAAGTGACCAACAGTCTTCACAGAAAAAAGGAAGATGGGCATTAAAAAGGCAGGTAAAGTCTGTCCAGATATTGACAGAGATCCTTGCCTATATATGGGTATGTCATATATGAGCCAAATAATGGAGCCAAGAGGAATTGCTTTTTGTGCTCAAAAATCAGAGACTTTGAAAACATAATTCTGGTTCACTGAATAATTTCAGACCTCTTCAGTCAGATAGTTATAATACCATTGTTTTTCATACAATGCTACAGGCCCTAAGGAATACTTAACTATTTCCAAAATATGTTTCTTACCAGACTCTTCTAAGTTTAAAGCAGATAAAGTGCAATGATAGAAAATACTATTTTTTCATTGTGAAAGTAACTGTTTGCATTAAACTGCCTTAGCAGGCCAAATAAGAGGCCTAACTCCCTTCCTTGCTCATCTCAGAAAACTCAGACCCGRAAAATTCCTGAAGAGAGGCAGCAAGCATGAGATTTGTTTCTGAGAGCAGAAACTTGAGTCAGAGCTGTACCAACTGTTCAACCACAGCAACTCAGGATCATCTGAGCAGCAGATCTATTTTCACTCTCCTTCCAAAGTACTGCCTTATTTGCTYCAGCATCACAGGAAAGGAGACCATTAGGTCACCAGCAAAGGTTTGAAATTTACGCAGGCCAAGGCAACCGCTCCTGCCCTTTGGGAAACTACTGAATGGTCAAAACATCTATTGTATGTTCTTCCCTGTGCATCAGATGCTGATGTTACAAGTGTTTGGCTGCTGGAAGAGAGACAAGAGAAGACAAGCTCTCTGTCCCTCAGCAGGAACAGGTCCTACAGTCAGTAAAGGTATCTAGAGGCTTTAAGTTAATCAAATCATMTTTAGAACAATGCCATTACTTTAAGGGCTGAGAGACCCTTTATCAAAGGGAATAAAATCTATTCCTACCTTGCTCTGGTAATAAAGTTCTGAAAACCTTCAGGATTCACTCCCTCCTCCTCCTCTTCCTGTTTCTTTTTTGATTGTTTCTGAACCATCTGCTCCGTTTCCTGTTAACAAGCAGTATCAGTAAGTGCCTCTGTGTTCCATGGCACAGCTACAACTCCCAGATTACAAAAACCAATTTCATGGGATCTAAGAAAAAAATAACATCGCTACGTGCAACAACATGAATAAACATGGAGAGGCCCAGAGACAGCATCCTAAGCATGCACAGAACTCTTCGTTCCTCCACCTGACACAATTGATTTGCTCAGAAAAGGTCAAGTCTTCAAAAATACATGCTGTTCCTTCAACTACTCTCTATGCTGGAACATAAGGAAGTACAGAAGGGAAAAAAATTAAATTATTCTTTACAGATATTAGGTACCCTCTCCACTTTTCTTGTTTCTGTCACAGAGTTCCTCCAAACAGCTTTTATTTGTGTATTTGTCCCAGAAGTAGACAGATAGAAGAAAGGAGGAAAAAAATGTAAAATTAATCTTAAAGAAACTGAAGGATGTCTGTTGAAAATCAACATATTTTCTACTACAAACTACTAGTTCTCTTGAGTTGATTTCTTTTGTCAAGCAGCAAATTGCTGAGGGCTTATACACATAGCAAAAAACCATACTGCTTTAGCAAAAACTAAGAAAGTAAAACAGTACAGCCTGTGGCAAATGTGTTTATACATAGAAATATACTGGAACAAATGGTAACTCTTTGTGTTTGAAAATGGGAGCAAGTTCTCAGATATAAATGGTGTCTTTTACACCAGTAGAACTGGTTGACACTAGAAGTTGGATTGATATAGACATTTTTCTCCATTAAAAAAACCTTCAGACCTGTCTGAAATACCAATACCAGCTTAAAAGCTTTATCTGACCAGATCTGACCTCCACTTCAATTTCTTCCTGAAGATACCCTGAGCTTTCCCAGGATGAAAGGGTTAGATACATTTTTTGAAACATAATTCAAGACAGGAAAGAAAAAGTCAGTTTGGGACATCTCTACCCTTTACTACTTAAGYAAATGTCTGGATAATATGTGATCTGTTTTACTTAATTTGCTGGAGCAGTGCTCTTTTCTTCTATGTCATTATAGAGGATATATAATGACTAGCAGGAGTCCCTCTTAGATCTGAAGTTACAAGTCAATGAAAGAAGTTTATAWCTTGGAATCAGAAATCAAAAAACCTTACAACCTAACAGTCTCTCAAGGGCTTATGTACGCCCTGAAACCTCATTTGATATGTTCTCACTTGTTTTAACTGAGAAAATAYGTTTATGCKCTGATTTATTACCAGCTACACAGCTTTATTTTGTGGATTTACTCAAGAGTTAGCAGAAAATTCCAATGTTTGAATACAATCTAAGTRGAAATTATATCCAAAGCAGCTGCAYTCTTCACTCACCACAGAGCCACCCAAGTGTTTTGTGGCTACTCCTAACACACTAATTCAGCAAGCATTAGGCATACAAGGTACTCCCTGGAACAGATTTGGTTCAATACCAAACCTGCTTCAACAGATCAAGTTACCTGATGTCAGCTCTGACAAGGTAATGTAATGTGCTCTCCTAACGAGCAGAAGCTCAGAGGTCTCTGCACAGCAGCCTCTGAAAGCTAAATTTCAATTACCCTTATTCTAACACTAAAGTAATGCTAGGGGGCAAAGGAAAGGGGAAGTTGYCCTTGCAGAATGAAGATTAGGTTGAAACCACTACGCTAAGAACAACACCTTCTACATCTAAATATGTGAAAATTATTTCAATTAGGACCTACATCTCCTTAGCACAGTACATGCAGAGTACCTTACTGCAGATATGTAGCAGTCCCTCAGTACACCAAGCAAAAAGCAAAATACATATTTCATGATTTTCTGTATAAAACAAAATATCTTTAAAGAAGCACCCTAAAATAGGAAGTGGGAAGAGACATTATAAAGCATTAGTATCAAAGGCAAGGCAAAGAAAAAGCAAACTGCCCGTTAAATTCCACTTAATTTCAGTACTTGTTTTTATGCACATAATTACTGGCCTGCATATATTATGTAATAATATTGTGGTCTGACAGTTTCAACAAAGTAGCATTATTAGATGCACAGCTGCAAGCAGACCATGTAAATAACAGAAAAGTGCCTTTGAAACTGCCTGCATGAGCTACTTTATAAGAAGAGAAGAGAAACCAAAAGAAGAATCAAAAAAAGAATCAGTCACCTTGTTGTAACAGACTATGAACTCGCCCAGCTGGCGAGCCAGGATACGACGACGATCATTTCGTCCTAAACGACGGCTGGGGAGCAGCAGCCTCAAGGACTGACGAAGGTTGCAGGCAGCTCGCTTCAGAAAGCGGATGACAAGCTCCTGAAAGCAAGAGAGATGGAGTCAACCAAGCACTACCTGCAAGATGTGGGGAGAATAGAGATAGCACAGCAGCTAATGACTGGCAGGAACTAAACACATCATCCTGAGAAAATGASTTGAAACTGGCAGGCAAAAGAATTCTGCAATATGCATATTAAATACAGCCCTGTAAATCCAATGTGGGGGAGGAAAACAATGGCATGTCTTGCCTAAGGTGGGTCCGAATTTTGAACACTTGAGAGGAGTTTGTCTCAAAAGTGTGGCAGATAAAGGAAAAAAATAACCAATCAGCAAAAAACAGCAACACAGAATAACCTGTAAAGTCCAGTTTCTTAGGAGAATGTTTCCAAAAACCCACCTGCAATCTGTTAAAGAAGGCCTGTGATAAAGTGCAYTGAYGTMAAACTTTCTCAGCACTACCACAGGAAAGGGGATCTTGGTCCACTACAGTAGGTAGCCCCATTTCATAGTTTTTCATATATATACACTATTGCCACATCATCTCTKCAGCAATCAATGACCAAATCTACAGCCATGTAATTCCAACCTCTTACCATGTCTATTTGACCTCTGGCGGGGGAAACATGGCAAGGCAGACCCTAAGGCAAGATGCATCCTGTGGATGTTTTGAACCCTTTCTGTCTCGCCTCTTAGGAGAGGCTTTTGCTTAGGAACTCTGYTAATGCATAAATGAGCAGCCTCACAGCCAAACTATTGGATTTCACAGCTTGCSTGGTTACTCCAGGCTGGTTTGATCTGTTATTTTAAACATTATTCTTCACAGTACAGCAGACAAAATTACTCTCAAAAAGTCCATTTTAGTTTCCACTTGGAAAGAGCAGAGGCAACATTTTCCACTGAGTTGAATGATTATTCTTGACACACAAGTTTATCTCTGAACTGTATTGGCTGTTTCCCTGCAACATACACTCAGTGAGAATATATGCAGAAAGCTCAAGAGACTATTGTAAAGAGATCTTTTAGGAAGGTTTATTAAGGGATCTGGGCTTGCTGCACTTTTTAAAATGCCTAGAAAAATCCATCACTTTTACTTTCTCTTCTCTTCTCTCTTTTACATTTCCTCTACCTAGAATGCGTAAGATTCATAAATGCAAATGTCTGGATATATTACAACAGTACATAAGAGAAAAAGCTTAACTGGGGACCTGTTCTATATAAGTAGATKAATGCTTTGCTTAATGCAGCAGAAACCAGATCCTGACAAGCAATCTTAAAGAATCTTCTAGAGAAGAATTCAAGAGCAGGTAAGCTCAGAAGTCAGTGAAAGAGAACCAACTAGAGATCTGAGCAGCTTGAATATCAACAACACTCCAGTCATTAAGAGATGTCTCTCATTTTTCTGAGGTCAGTCMGCATTCCTACCTCAATTGTATATTAAAAATACAGCACTGGCAGCTAGACAAAGATAAACAACCATCATCTCAGTTGGACTTCTGTTCTTGCAAGGATGGGAACCCACCTCAAAATTYTCAAGGCAGATTCAACTTGGCTACTCAGTCTGGCCAACACAAAGCTTCTTACCATTTGTTCATCCTCTTTAGCAACCCAGGAAGGATTCTGGATCTGTTCTCCAGCCTCCTTCATCAGTCGGAGCCGAACATGCTGTAGATAGGCAGAGAAAGCTGTACGAGCTTGTACTTTGCTGTGGACAAAAAGAATCAATYAGCTATCTTCAGAATAGGAATGGGAAGAGTTACAGCAGTCAGGCACAGCTTAAGGACAAAAGCACAGTCAGCTAGGACCTGCTAAGCACACTAATATTGAAGCTCAAAGAGAGGAGGACCCCTTCACCCCATTAGCATTTTCAAGCAGATCATCAGTTCACTAAGATGGGGTAGGTATTGCAGGAGGTACTTTTTAAGTTCTAAGACAATTTCTAAAAAYTGCATGTTCTTCCTGCCTTTTACAGCCTTAGTTATTCTCCTCCAAAAGCCAGTAATATGGACAACAGTAAAACTGTGTATTTTAAGAACAAATTCAAGTCTCTGCTGGGCCTCTGTTTTCACAAACATTTTGAACACCACAACAACAGACCATAAAAATAAACAAAGGACTTGGTACTGGTGCCAGAGTTATAACAAAGGCCCTGTAATTCCCMTTGGAAATGAAAGAATTAAATCTGTGAAAGTGAGCTCTTCCCCTGCTGCCTCAGGGATACAGCCAAATTTCACTRAGCAAGGCACCACTGAGGAATGAAGGAACATCAGCAAAATCTGCTGTGCAGCTGGCTGAACATGTCAGGAAGCTGTAAGCATGAACTGAGGAGAGGACTGGGAAGGATACATCACTTCTCATTCCCTCACAGTGGTAGTCACTTTAGTATATGCATCTGTTGTGAGAGAAATTGCTGAAAGTTTTGCTCAATTCTGCTCATTTTCTTCTGGTCTAAACCCTATCCATGAACATTTTGCTTTCCCAGTCTCTGCTCTTCCTTACAKTTTCCCCCATAGTCACAAGAAGCTTTTCATAAGGATGTTGCAGCMCATTGGCTTTAGTGTCAGCAACAGATTTCCCTTGCTATCACAGGAAGTGTCCTAATAYGTCCAGTAAATTTTAAGTTTCATCTTAAAACAAACTAGAGTTTTGAACCCATTACYTTCCTGAAATATTATTCTAGAACTTACTTTCCTAATAATTAGGAACCTTCTTTTACTACCCAGCCTGGCTCCACTCATAAGCAGTTTATAATTGCTTTTTCTTTYTCCAGTATTGTCCTGTATCTCAAATGTAATCCCTGATGCGTCTCCCACCTTGAATGTCTTTGTTAACAGAGTTACATCCTTTCATAGTTTTCATTTGATCAGTGTGAACCATCCACATATTCCAGTCTCTTCTAACAAAGAACCCACACTGGTTATGTGATGAGACAGCAGCCCTCCTCCGTCTGTGTTCCACTCACAATTTGCCTTCCATGAACATGGGTGGTAGTGTCTGTGTACAACACTCCACATGAAGTCTCAAGKACATCAAGTGATGAACTCTACAACCCATTTGGTATTTTCATGCATGCCTGAGCTAGAGCTTCRCAAACTTCCTGTGATCAACCAGCATGCAAGATATTCTTCCTTATAATTAATTCCTAGTTGATGAACAYCCAGCTGACAGAACTTCTGCTGTAAATTATTAGTTTTTATAAGCATCCCCTTGCACTTGGTGCTACTGATTTTCATCCTAGTTATGTTATTTATATCCTCAAAGTCATCCAGTTTTTCACATATTTACTATCCACTACTTTTCTCTCATGGTAGTAACTCCCAAATATTTTCCATCCAGAAAATTTCATTAGCACATTTGTCCATTTTGTGTCATTCTTGAATTGATTAATATCAGCCTCAGACCAACTCCTGAGGAACCTCACCATATTCTTTCTACTTGTCTGCCCCTTATGAATATGGTACTTATGACTCCATTTCCATGAGTCCCTGAAATGCTATTAAAAACTGCRCAGCAATTCTTTCTGGTTTATAGGTCTGTAAATTTCAGACTATTTAGTGTCTGAAATACATACACAGAATACATACCATAGCAGCACTTACAGAAATCAATGCATCAGTTTAGGTAAGAGTTGAAGTTAAATATATTGGAGGTATCCATGTATTGGCTTAATAATCCACCTTTGGTGCTTCTGGAAGGCCACACAGGGCCAAAGAGATGCTAAGCCAAAGACAAGTTCACAAGAGTCTCAAGCTAACATCCTCTGTGAATAGCGGTAATGCAACAACTAAAATGTGATGAAAATACCTGGTTATAATTTCTGTCTTCCAGAAACTTCAGTGAACTCCAAAATGCACAGCAGACATTATAGCACCTCTAACCTCTGTATGCTACTAATCAATAYATCTACCTTTTATTTCCACATGTGTGGAACATCAGAACTCTGAATCCTAGCTAAGAACAGATATATTCTACATAAGGCCACCACATATCAGAAAAGGCTCTCACCTCAGCTTTCTAAAGCTGTCAGGTTTGTTTTAGATGCAACTCAAACATCTCATGAYCAGTTGAAGATTTGTGCTGGTAGAAATCAGGGAGCCCTTATTATCAACATCAGCACAATAATACAGTTCTTTGCCTGCACCTGAACTTCCATGACTAAAGACTAAAGAAGGTCTTGGTTTAACACTGCCTCTCCTTTGGAGYGGGGAATATTGAAACCTGAGGCCTTAAATGCAGGAACAAGTAACTTCCTTTTCATTTTACTTGGGAATGGCACAGTTGGGGGAAYAAGCTCCCTTCGACTATCACCTCTTCACCAGTAACAACCAATGTGTGGAAGGTACAGATATCTCCTCATTAGGCTGATGAGGAGAGAGAAGCCCTACCACTTACAAAAACTGACTAGAACARGCCTGGTTTCTCTTGGATGAAAATTGCATTACTTCAGCTTCCCTGCCTRTTGAGGCCACAAGGAAAACTTACCTCAATGGCAGATAGATGGGGCCAAGCAGCACAAATCTTGAAACATGAGGTCACCACAAGCCTTATACCCTACTGTGGGGAATCCCAATAGTGCTGGGTGCTGAGCAAGATTCTGCCAGGAACATCAGACAGAGCTTATGATCCTGGCAGGAGCCAGTTCTATATATATGTAGTTATAGACRCAGCATTGCTACGTTTATCTTTAAAAGATGTTTCAGAATCTTCTCTGTCACAACAGCAAATGCCACAATTAGATATCAGAACAATCCCCAAAGACATTGAAAAATCTGTAATTTCTCTYAGAAACTAAACTAAGAAAGCAATAAGAAGAAACATTTTCTCTACCTCTGGACATTTTTCCARGAAAACGTAATGCTGCTTCTCGCCTAGAAGATGTAAAATCTTCCTACACAGATACRCATCACAATGCTCTCTTTTTGCGCTTTCTGTCCATCTGCAATTAGACAGTCCTGCTACCCACATTTAACGAGATCATACTTCAYAACATCTGGTAAGACCATGCTTGGTGTTTTTCTATAGAACCTCCTCCAGCACATCTCATTTTTCCAAGAAATGAAGTCATGCATCAGAACATATACTATTCCACACCRTCATACTCAAAAACATGCAGTGAGATGCCTCAGTAATTTGTCGCTCTCAAACTATGCCCTAATCTTGCTCTCAGAAGGCGATGACCTTGAGCAAAGATTATTACCAGAGGCAAAAATTCTATGTCAAAAATAAAAGTACAAAAATGAGAAAGCTAATTTTATGGAGAGGGTTGGATAGGAATAATTTAATATATGTTAATAACCCCTTCTTGGAAAATTCAAACAACGAGAAGAAAAATTTTAGAATTCAGTAGCAGGCATCCTGTATTAAGTCAGAGAGGCATTTTAGAAGCCTGAGCTGACAAAGTAGAGCTTGCATCATCAGATCAAAGAACAGCCATGGAAACTATAGGTCATGCTTTACACTGATCCAACACATCAGGTATCAAGGTAAACTGCCAGACTTTGCAATAGCCTCCCTTCTGTGCAAACAAGATGTTAGAGCAGCCCATAGTGAGACAAAAATCTAGGCCCCTTTCCTAGGGTCATTTTATCTCTTCACACTCATAACATGCTACTAAACGTACATCCATGTTTTAACTTATATTAGCTTCAAATCAAAACTAGAGGCAATATGCAGAAAGCTCTCACCTCAAGTTTCCATGCTTTTGAAGAATCTGAAGCAAGTTAAACTGAGATTCTGAATCTGGTTTTTGCAGAAATAGCTCTTCATCTCCAGTTTTCTTGTCAAATTTTCTYGGTAAACTCTCCTTACGAGTAGCTTTCACTGAGTCAGAGAGTTTTGGCTTGTTTTTCACCTGGKTGTCTGAAGGAAAGCAAACATTTCCATCTATCTCTTCATCTTCATCTGCATCCATCTCTTCTTCTTCCTCATCTTCTGTGTCTGACTTGAGGGACAGCTTTGTTGGTTGTGATGTGCCTGTAAGTAGAGGAGAAATCACTTATGCTGCTTAAGAAAAAAAAAAAAAAAGAATGRAGAGGACCGTTCTACTATTTATACCCTTTGGTTTACCCCTGAACTCTCTTCTGCTAGAAGGACAGAACACCACCATTTTAGAACAGCATCTAAGAATCAGTGTCCTATATTATTCGTTCTTTCTTTCTGCTTGTGCATCCAACAGCTCAGGAGCCCAATATTACAGAACAGAGGCCAAGATTCTTGCCCTAACTTTACAAGTGAAAAAAAATGCCCACAGAAAATCAAAGAGGAAAAGACATTTTCCTGTATTTTATCCTCATTCTTACCTACATACAGACATATATACATCCATACTTGATATACATATACACACATTTTATGTGTGTTGTGTGTYAAATAAAACAAAGCTAAACTGCCACATGTGCCAATAAAGATCATATACTTTAACAAAGCAGCAAAAATCATAACATACAATCTCTCCTATTGCAGTCAGTATCACACAGTTACCAGAAACAGTTTAGATAAAGGCTTCAGGAACAGTCACTTGTGGGAATCATTCACCTCTGTACCCTTTTAAGTTTTTCCAGCATCAGCCTGGATAAAGATTTCTCTTCCCAACAGCTTAGAGTCASTGCTGTCTAGGAGAACCAAACTGAAAGATTCCATCTTTATCTGAAAAGCTGAAGAATTACAGAGGCACATATACTGTTGAATTCTTTACCCAAAATGCAACCACAAGTTCATCTCCAAGCAAACAATGATTACCTTTAACCATATACATAGGGATGTGGAAWGGTGGAAATGAAATTCATGGCACTAAACACACAGGAAGCTCAGAAAAGGAATGAAGTAAAAAACATTAACACTTGAAACGAGAACAACTCCATTCACACACATTTCAAATGAAAAAGTCCTTTGTTTGCTTGTTTTTGACTAGCTGCTCATTGAAATCTCAAGCCATGCACACCTGATAATCTTGTCTGTGTTGCTTGAGCCTTGCCATGACATCGACGACGTTTCCGTAACTCCAGTGAAATAAGCTTCCTCTCATAAAAGAGAGCATGAGAGTCCACAGCTTCCATCCTCACTTCCGGCCTTCCATTAAGACCTGCTCTGGGAAGCATAGTACAGACATCCCTCAGTCTCCCTTTGTACTTCTCTCCCTGATGATACAAGAGACCCAAGAGATGACATTTCTTCAAGAAACATTCTTCCTGATACAGGGAATATTTATCATCAGTTTAACTCTGCTGTATTTAAGCCTGCAAAKGTTTGAAGAGAATCTTCTAAGTACTCCACAGAACATCATCTCTCAAAGCCCCAAGACACACTTATCTAGTGTCACGCTTTTGTGACTGAGCAGCATCTGCCCATCATGCAACAACTCAGGGCACAATTAATGGGGGAAATTGCAAGAGCACAAAACAATGAAGGGGAATGGAAAGAGAGCACATAGACACAAATCCAGTTGTTTGAAGCATTTATGTAGACAGTTTTTTCTTCACTATTTGATCAGAAATAAGAATCTTAACATAATAGAAGTGGAAAATGTCAAACTTTCTACAATTTCTGCCTAAGTTAAGGGACAAGGAGCCCCATCAGATTCTTAAATGGAAACAAAAACAAAAGTAACAACTTTCTGCCTGTACGCAAAGCTCCAGAAGAATGCACTCTATGATATAGGTGGAAACAAGCACAGAAAATTCTCACTGTTGCATTTATCTTTTTAGATATAATGAAGTGAATATATGGGTATATGAAGTCCAGAACTCTTGTGCATTACAAGATCTTTTGAGAGAGTTCAATGATGAACCTTATCAATAAATATGGCAGGAATACCAAAGTCAGAATCCTATTAGGAAAAATGTTAAGGTTCAATACAAGAAAACATRAGCTCTCCACATGTGGGTATATTCTTTTCTCACTGTGTTTATGTTTCTAAAATTATTTTCATGGATTTCAGGTAGAAAAAGTGTTGATTCACAACTTCAAAGATGAAGCTGTGGAAATCTAAATTTAAAAGAAATCCTACAATGCACAAATTATTTAATTAAGAAGCCACTTACCGRGCTCTCCCAGTGATGAACTCTCTTTTTATCCTACCCCTACAAAGAGAAAAAGGTCAAAAATTACCCTCCATACTGGATCAGCCTTSATTAAAAGCCTTCATAGTCTTTCACATGGAGAGAACACATTAATAGAGCTCTATTTTAAAGGAGATAATAATGAGTTCCAAAAGAGGAGACCTGAGCAGCTGTACTATAACYGATGCTTGCATTTGTCTGGCTTAAGCTGGAGCAGGCATCATTGAGAACTACTCTTTAGACACATCCCTGACTGTACACAGAGAAAAAAAAAATTGTACAGCACTAATGCAGGAAGAGCTTTTGTAAATATTGTCTCCTTTCTTAGCCACCTTGTCTTTACTTGGTAGTTACTTGACAGTGCATCTAAAATTTGCACAGGAACTGTTGAGAAGGAAGGGCTTTAAACAYAGAGGGAAAGACACTGCATACAACTCTCAGTGGAAGCTCAGCTAGTGGCMTGAACTGTCATTTCCACCCAAGCACCACCCAGAGAAAGAACCATCAAATCATGACTGCACAGGTCAAGACACGGGGATACTAAAACATTGGAGAAGTCAATTTCAGGGCTTAGTTTACAAGAAGACGAGACTCAATGTGATTCGAAATTTGAAACAAAAGGACTACCTATAATCCCTTTACAGAGAAACCTGGGCACTTTCAGATTTTCATGTCTATGTAGTTTTAGTATTCCAACTATTCCCATGCCTTTGGACTATTGCCCTTTTTGGCCTTGGTCTCAAAGAGGAGCACGTAAATATATGAGCAACAATCACTGGCAAACTAGAGAAAAGATGYAAAATTAGCACTACCCTTATAAATCCCAGACCAGTGTTTATAACATTGGATAAGTGAGGAATCAATCCTTTTTGTACTGTTTGTTCCCTTTACCTCTCTCCCAAACAGAAAAGCTTCCTACCTGTCCTTAAACAGACGTGTAGCCAGCATGTAGTTCATTGATGTCTTGTGCTCTAAAAAAGATCTAGAAAAAGAGTATTGTAAAACACAATGAAAGACAGCATAACATAGAAATAAATGACCTCKGAAAAAACATTCCAGAAGTGGATTCAGACAACATGCTATATACCACAACAGAAAGGAGGAAAGGAGGAGAGCTATCATTTCTCAGCTGAAGCTCCTGGTGATGGAAGAGACGAAGAAAACATTACAGACTGGAMAAGCAAACTTGGAACAGTGTAATATAGTAGCACTTTCAGAATGAGTGAGTCCTATATGGTGTTTATGGCCTAATGACAGTATGCAGCTTGAGGATGTAAAAGTAGATAGTAAAAATCTGAAAGGAAGACACTTCTATTCTAACAGAAAAGCAATACCAGAAACAATGTCCAACAGCTTTCCTTGGGGTGCAGTTATGCAATGCAGCARCTGATAAAAACAAGGGATCAGAGAAAAGAATATTCAACACAAAAATAAACTCTATCAAAACTTTCAATATGTCTTTTTGATTGCCAAGATTGCTGATCTACACATACCTAACATAGAATATCCMTCAACCCAGAACATCAGTGCCATCCTATCAAATTTTTATTCTTACCCATAAAGGTCCCATGTTAAAGGAGTAGGGAAAATCCGGACAAAGCCTCCTCTCCGTTCATTTTCCTCTCTCACTCGCCGGAGAACTCTGATCTAAAAAAAAAAAAAAGAAAAAGAAAATAGCCAATAAAATAGTTAACAATGAAAAACTAACCTTATGAAAATCTCTGARTTTCAGAGACAAGACTATTCAGTCCTGCAAATGGACTGGCTACATATCCTTAAGGAATTTTGTCTTGCATTTAGATTCTGAAGGAGTCTATCACTGCACGGTTGAGGGCAAGGGCATTACCAGCAGTAAAACTCAGAAATTCTTCTCCAAAAATTGTACTTTTTCTGTCACATTTTTCATATACATGCACTTGCTCTTTGTTGAGCAAATAACCCCACATACTGAATGAAAGCCAAGATAAATAAAAGCTATTTAATAGCTTACTTACCTCCTCCATGGTGAGGCCTAGCACAGAGCTGTTATGCCTCCCTGTTGCTTTTTCCCTGCCTAAGGGCATCGAGGTTTTAACTTCAGCATCGCTGGCAGACAGAGGACGGGAACGCTGTAGAGACAGTGTGAATCCAGATTTTTTTTTCCTTTTAAAAAAGTTACATTCAAATTACAGGACCCCATTCCCAGCAGGATCTACACTGCAGAGCTCTAYAGTCAGAATTCACAATTCACACTGCAGCTGTTGAGGAGTCCACACCCCAGATGGCACTAAGTGTGAATATTCATATTCTTAGATTTTAGCACAGCAGGCACAGTTCAGGCATTGGTGCCAGTATTAACAGCCCTGGCCCTTTCTGGAAAAACAGAAGACATCCAAAAGCAGCAAAATCAGGATGTCATACTGAAAAATCCTCACCCAAAGGGCATCAGAGTCAGAATTCACAGGACCCAAATACACTTGGATTMACACATCAGTGCTATCAGAACCATGATTCTCTGTAGTGTTGTTACATTAGAACAACAGAATCATAATTCCCCAGCGAGACTTTGCAGGGAAAAGTTCACGACCTGTTACTCTTTTGTTAATATACTGCTGGATGTCAAGTTGCTACTTCTCACACTTAGAGGAACATCCTGCAAATGTACACAGATACATCATGCAAATTTGCATAAKTATACAATTTTTTAAAAATAAGAAAAGCAATAATTTGCAGACAGTCTCACTAAGCTTATTTTAAACCTGATGGGCAATCATGGCCAATTCCAACAAAAGGACAGGAATTGAAAATGTCTTCAAATCATCAAGACTATAAAATCTCAGAATCCAAGCAAGACTGACATCTTTGAACTTGTTCTTGAGTACATTTAAGCTGGTCTTAGGCTAAATTTAAATAAACTACCTCTGCAAAAACAGCACTAGAAGAATCTACTGAGAAGATCTCAGGCATTTATACTAAATTCAAAGTTTCTTTTAGCTCTATACTGGGCAAAAAATGCACAGAGAGCCTTAATTTAGAAAGAAAAGAAAAACGTGACAGAACATTAAGCTGGATAAGTCCAGCGGAATATCCCATACTGCTCAGATACAAAAAAAAAGCCCATGGCAAGATCAGGATGCATCTTTATTCGTAAAATGTATTGGAATTGAATCTCATTCTCTCTGTTTCACTAGAAATGGCAAGATCCAGAATCTCTGGATAGAGCAACAGCAAAAGCAACAGGCAATGCACTAGAAAAAAGTTATACTACAGTGATTGGCACAGAAAGATCCAAAATAAAACAGTCATAGCAGGTTACCAGCTGAAACATTTTGTAAAGCCTAACTAAAACTGATTAAAAAGAGAAAATGAGACAATTTGGATGAGAAGGCAGGGAACAGGGATGTTTGCAGAAGAAATAAAAATGCCAGCAATGAAAAGAGGTTTGCTTGATGCTGTAGATCGCACTAAGTTGGAAGGCTTTTAGTCTTTTTTTCTAAGATTTCTTCCATTTCAGCTCAAAATCTTCTTCACAGCTCAAAATCTTTGCTTAACAATTTCCTTCAAAATCTCCTGATAGGTAACGTTCTTTTAGAAACCATTTCCTGACACTACCATAACAATCCACCATCATGTGAGAACTGCTGCTCCAAGAGAGGAAATTTTTCATCCTATTAAATGATCTGCTTTACTAGAGAAACACTTCAATGAAATCATCTCCATTGTCTCGATACAACAGAGATTATTTCATTGATTACAAACAGAAAACATATGTCCACATATTGGCAGTTCTGACTTCTACCTGAGAACAAAACTAAATTGCTGTCAAAATGCTAGAGAAAACTCTATCTTGGCGGCACTTCCCACAACAAAGAGTTTTTTCCATGTTTCACTACAGAATACCCTCTGGCTGTAGCACAGAAATGTCTCCAACTTCACGAAGATCCTTTTYCCTCTCTGACCCAACTTATCTATAAAAGTACAGATAAATCAAACTACTCTGGGATAACTCCAAATTCTGCAAGTATTCCTGGTTCCCAAATCATGCTTATAATTTTACTAAGCACTGACAGCAGTTGGCATAAAGATCTTCCCTATTCTCTACAAAACCTCGTCATTCAGTAAGACTCTTTTCTCTGAGCTTAGCTAAACTTACATGGAATTACATAAACAGCAGTGAACAGACTAAAGTAGGTTCTCAAGATGACTTCATCTGTCCTACCTTCCCTTCCTAATGGGAAACCTCATTAAAAAAAAAAAAAAAAAAAAAAAAAATTCCCATTACATTTGTGCAGGAAGCCCAGCAGCAAAATAATGCCTAACATGTCCCACATGGTCACCTGCTTAGAATTGTAAACCAACATTGATTTGTCTATACAGCTGGCAAGAAGGGTGACAAATACATTTAGAAAGGTAGATTAGTCTCAATTTAGKCTAACAACAGCCCCATATTTTTCCATTAACTTTAAGAAATCCTTCTTTTATCTGCATCTATTTTGACCTAGCTCACTCTCAAATTTTTGCAGTGTCCTTCAGAGGACTGTCTCACAGAAAATGATTACTTCTTTTGTAGGGCCATCTGAATGTTGTCTGCATAGGTTCTCCTATGCTTATCTTATCATTCAAACTTGTAGTCACAAAAACTTTGAGGGATTTGATCCAGCTGATCTTGACTCTCAGCACACCTCACCTACTTTTTTTTTAAGCTGCTAGAAGTGATGTAAATATGTTTTCAACATTTGCTTTTGCCACATGGAAAACATAGGCTGGTGTCATCACCTCTTTTCATGTTGACTTCCCATTCACCACCCCCACTCCTACCCCAGACTACTCCAACTGTAAAATATATTTGGGGACTAATTATGCCAAAGGCATTGTACACAGCAACATTGGAAACTGCAACCCTTATAAGGTGATGGGAACTGAAAGGTACTTACCAATCTGCTGTTTGCTGTTTGCGACTGTGCAGACGCAGGACGCTGCAAGAGACACACAAAGAGAATAAAAATCTTGTGCTCTCCAAGACACTATGATCCCTGCCCGAGTGGTTGAGGACTGGCAAGTACCCTAAACAAAACAGTATAAGCAAAGGGTGGTGAGGCACTGGAACARGTTGGTCAGTGAAACTGTGGATGCCCCAACCCTGGAAGTGCTCAAAGACAGCTGGATGTGCCTTGGAGCAAGCTGGTTTAGTGGAAGGTGTCCTTGTCCATTGCAGTGGGGYTGGAACTTGATAATCTTTAAGGTCCTTTCCAATCTAAACCCTTCTAGGATTCTGTGATAACTGAAGTCCAGAGATAAAGCTAACCACTTACCTCAGTTCAGATCTTCCTCATATCCTGCACAAATGTATCCTGTCCCCATTCCAAACACAGCACTCATTCTAACTCAGATGTGCTCAACTGCGCAGAATCTATCTGGACATATGGTTTTCAAAAGCACACCAAACTCAATTGTTATGACCAAAATTCATAATTTTGTAAGATAAAGAGTCACCCATATAAAAATATTTAATAGCTATACATTAAGGAGAAACAGATGCTGTCAAGTAAAATTGTTCATAGAACAGAGGGGGAAGAAAGTAAAAACCTGGAAATTTTCCAAGGAATTTCATTTAAATAYCTCAACAATATTCCAGTTCTTGTGGAGGAACAAGATACTATTTAACATTCTAAAACAAGTGTAGGAACATCAGAATGTCAAGAAGTACCCTGTATTACTTATCTGGTATCAGGCCTATAAGTAAAATCAGTTTAAGGACAGGGGCAGGTTCAAAAGATAACACTGGAGCCTAGATTTTCCTTGCCTTCAGTGGTATTCAGGCTGTCTTCCGCCCCTCCAACACCCAAGAGAAGCAAATGGTGTAAGAAAGGATTCTCAGAAGACTCGGAATAGTTGGTCTACTCAAAACAGATCAAGGTCCCCTCATTACTTATGATTAACTGAAAGAGCTCCAACCCAAATCAACAAGAAGTTACAAAGGAAGCAGCAACATTGTTCATTTCCTTAGAGAGAGAAACGCTCAAAAGTCAAACCAAAGAAGTTGCACAAGAAACTTGTAGTCCAGACTGGTGAAACTTGGAAAAAGGAGTAATCATCTCAAGATAGCTATTCAAGAGAATCTCTCAAGAGCACTGGTACCAACATCTCTTTTCCAAGCAGCAACTTTCACAGTGATTAAATACAGCCTATGTGAATGACCAGAACTTAAAACATCATGAAGGAGGTAGGCAAAAACAAAAGAGATTCAACACACCCTTCGCAACAGAGAATTGGAAGAGGCAAAGAGGCAAAAATTTGACATGAAATGTACTCACCAAAGAACTTTTCAACTGGCCAGCCTTACACCTCTTTGTGGGTATTTTTTAAGCAAAATAAAGATTAAAGCTTCCTTAATATTCAATGCTTCACAGCATGCAATTTTCTGACTGTCTTGAATAGTCTTTTTCAGATAAAATATGTCAAATCATCAGGATCTGACCACATTACTCCAAGAGAGAAGAGTACTTTTTATTTGGAATGGTTACTAATTTATCTCATATACCTTTTGTCTGTTACAGAGAGAACCTCTACAGTCAGAAGGATCTGTATTTAAAATACTATTATATTTGTCTTTGAAGTTTCAGACTCAGACATGTGTCCTGAAGATACTTAAATCCCATTTTACCAGCTATTCACCTCTCTCATGGTGACTAAAGACTCTGAGTTTTACAAAAGACAAAATACTGCAATTTCTGTGAGTTTTCCCTATACCAAAACAGACAATGTCTTGGCACACTGTCACTGAACAAAAATGTCTTGTCATTTCTTAATTGAAGTTGAGCTACACATCCATGTTGCATATCTGTCACARCAGCATCAGCTGCAGAGATGTACCAGGTACACTGTTTACCTGTTTGCCTCAGGAGAATTGTTTGAAGTTCGAGTGATGTAACAGATCTCCCTGCCTTTTATGAATGTTCCATTTTCAGACGTATTTATGGAATCCATTTCATAGCAAGAAGAAATAGAGAACAACTGCCCTTCAACATTACAGTGCTGAGAAAGTACGACCTCAACAGAAAAGGTAGTGGGCAGTCACAGCAAGCCACATGAGGCCTCAGTCCAATGATCCATGGGAAAGAAGCCTTAAATTTCAGATATAAGAAGCTGTTAGCCTAGAAGGAGATCTTGGAGACATTAATAGAGCTCTAGGAAGTTTGCTGTCCACAACAAAATCAAAGTGGCTGAACAGCCCAGAATTCAGGTGTATCCCCTGAGTCTCTGAAAACCATAGAATGGTTTGGGTTGRAAGGGACCTTAAAGGTCATCTAATTCCAACTCCCCTGCCATGGACAGGGGACCTTCCACTAGATCAGGATGCTCAAAGCCCCATACAACCTGTCTTGAACACTTCCAGGATACAGAGTCCATAAATTCTTTGGGCAACATGTTCCAGTGCCTCACCACCCACACAGTTAAAAATTTCATCTTCTATAGTTATGCTAGAAATCCCGATAATTCACTCATGGCCTCTCTGACCCGTGAGTCATATTCAGTGAGAATGACTTCCTGCTATGCTCTTCAGCCAGGGTTTGTAAAAGTCTCTTACYTGCAGCTTCTGGTATGCATTTCTTCTGACATCAGATGAATGATAAATGGCCCGGCTTGACCGCTGGCATGGATCCTGGCATACAAAGCCTATGGACATCAAGAACCACATGAGAACTTAAAGACAGACAAACCCTGAAATACAAATCTAGCATTCCTGTTCACCAATCTTAGTCTATACATGACCTTCTTGTCCCTGCCCAAGGACCAAAAATGATGCTTTTCTTTTTTATACCTTGCTTTGTTTAATCCTAAAATGTACATTGCATTATATTTTTTTACTAAAAACTGTAACTTGCCTCAAAATCAAGCACTTCAGTCAACAAATGAGACACTTAATAGCAGCTCAGAGACAGACTGGGTTTCTTAAACAGCTGAGCAGGGTACCTGATGACAACTCKGCATCTTTCAGTATTGAGGAAAGTTGCATCAAGCAACTGAATCCAGATGCAAGGGATAGTGTGCACTAGACAGTATTCCAATTCTACTAATCTGACCAAAACCTATACACTCAACCTAAAATATGCATGAATACTAACTCTGAAGGCTAAAGAGAGAGTAATGTCTTCCAACACCAAATTAGGGACTCTTAAAATCACCTAAGCATCACAGATTATTCTGAAGTTGAAATGTCCAGTGCTAAATACAGTTGCTCTCCATAACTGGAGTTCACTTCTATTATACTCATCTAATAACATGCAGATCATAAACCTAMTTGTTATTGGTTTTAAATAAGGGAAAGATTGAAGGATTTTTTTTTCACTCACCTACAAGAGTGAACATATCTGAGAGCATGCTAGCTTTGATCTTCAGGTCCAAAGGAGCATCACTGTCCCCACATGCAACAGAGGATAAAAGCAATTATTTGTCTGGCACTAAATGAGAAGAATGCATCAGTATGCAGTGTATCTCCTAATACAGTTTCTTTAACACAGGCAAAAGCAACACAGAAAGATAATTAGATGACTTTCATATAGATAAGTAAAGATTAGAGAGCCACAGACTAATCGGTTTATGCTTTTTCCAYAGCTTTTAGTGTCCTAAGGCAGACACAGACAGCTTTATTTTAACTGTACTTGGCTAGAAACGTTTTCTTTGAATGTATGTAGGTTACATTTCAAGAAGTAGACAAAAGTTGCTGTTGTAGAATTCTTAAAAATCATACTTACCTATGCCTCTTCCAAATAAAATCATAGCTGAGATATCTACAAAAATAAAGCCTCGATTTCTAATAGAGCACGAGGGTCAGCATAAGGGCCAGTTCAACACTCCTTTAGAATTTATCTAATGAGAGTACTAAATCGAACATTTGAGCCCAAGCGTACTCAAGTAAAGCAWAATTGACTGAACTCTGCTTTGGGCTCCAAAATCTTAGAGCTTCTTTCAGCCAAGCAAATTGAAACATAACACAATAGTCTGACAGAGCTCCAAAATTTATCTATGATGGGAGATTATGAAGAGTTAACAATAATGACGGAAAAGAAATAATTAAAAAGTAAATGGAATCCCAACTGGACTCTTTCAAAACCGATTGCTGCARTAAGTTTGATTTTTTCCTTTGCATAAACAAAGGAGTGTCCTCTCTGCCAATCAGCAGTGGAACAAAATCTGCAGGCGTTTTGAAATCTTGCTCTCCTAGGACCACAAATTTCAAGAACAACCATCTCCAGCAACAGTCCCTGCCTCATATTAAACTAGGAATCACTTACCAGGCCAATGATGGGGACAGGTTCACTTCCAGCAGCCAGGGTTTCAGAGTGTCATCAATAAGGACATCAAAACCATACAGCTCTGAAAACATACAGCAGACACTCTAAGTTCACCTTACTGCATCTTTAAGCTTTCARGTAAGGTCCAACATTAATCTCTATSAGGTAATTTCTWAATTATATAACTAAAATATATATGTTAAATCTGGTAAACTTTCTAGGGATGAACAAATAACATTCCTCAAGCAGCAATTTTCACTTCCTCAGAATCAAAATTAAACATATAGTGTCCATGGGRGAAAGAGTGGAACAAAAAAATTAGTCTTCAGAAAGTATTATACAGAAAAATAAAAACTCTGTCCTGCCAACAAGCTGTAGTTCACGCACAACTCTACTACTTGCTTTCACATAGAATTGACACAAACACAGCAGGTTCAATCTACCTTTCCACTTTATCCTGGAAACAACAGAACTTCATTCTCCTTTTCACTTTTTAATCCTTTTATTCATGCTCCAGTCAGCTAGAGAAAATCTTGCTTCTTTCAAGGATCAGCTTCTTTTCAATTATTCCTGTATGTTTTCTGCAATATCCCCATGGGGTTACAAGAGACTTCTTGGCAACTCCATCCACGTGGACAACCTCCCGTAGCTCTTTAGCTTATTGACAGCTTGCCACTTTGCAGTAAACCACAATATTTTTTCCTTAGTTTCTAAAACATTCATAACATATTACATCTGCTAGATGTGTTTCACTCTACACAGGTTAGATTGAAGCCAGCTTCCCATTCCAAGACTGATTTTACCATTTCACTCTATACATACGTTCTCTGTAGTTTGGAAAGAGTTGCAAGAAGGACACTACACAAAGATAAGTGTAAGTCAGAAGTTGGCATTAATGCAATTCCCTCTTCAAGTATTAAGAAATACAGTTAATAATCATCAGGGCAACTTAAGCACATTTTTTTCAAAACACCACAACACAGGGTATTGGCAGAGAAGGATTTTAATGGAATTAACCAGTTCCCTAGTGGCTGGAGTAAAAGCAGGAGAATTTCTTTGCCATGTTTCTTTCCTTGAATTYTGGTCTTGGCCTTTTGTCACCTGCCTGACATTGATGCTGGCTCTGGGGCGCTGGACTGCTTGACAAAATCTTCCTATGCAGACAGCTGTGCAAAAGCTCATGTAGCTTATAATGAGAAGTTAATGAATGGGGGSGGGGGGGGGGGGGGGGGCTTGGAAGGGGGGAAATGGCAGCAGAGTGAACACTGCCTGCTCATTTTTCTAGAGTCTGTAGCCAGACATTCAGGGGGGAGCAAAAYAGCAGAGAGTTAAAGAGTTGGTTCACTCCAAAGAAATGAGACTGAAGCTACATTTGGCTCTCTTGCTCCCCAGACAGCAATGGCTACATAGAGGGAAAAGGAGGAGGTAAGGATTGTAAGTGTAAACATTAGCAAAGTATTTTGATCAAGAGAAACTTCTGATGACTTGAATACATTATTTCAAAATGCAGTCTCGGGTTTGGTGAAGACCTATGACTTTTAACAGCACAGACAACTCCAGTGGGTCAGCAGCTCATGCCCAAGACAGAGAAGCAATGAGTGGGCCTGCAGCAGCTGCTGGTCTGTGACCTTCCAGCCCCCGTCAGGAAGCACTGTGTTTTGTTTTGACTAGCTCCTGCTTCTTTTGCTGCTGACCATTCCCTCCCTTGGCCTCTCAAAGGACCTCTGCCAGCATTTTGGCTCCTCTGACTTTGTTCTCCTCTCCCACACAATTCTCGTGCAAATCACTGGCTCTTTAAAGCTCCATCTTTCCCACCCAGTTACTCACTCCRTCAACTTTTACAAACACACATGGGAAACCTCTCAACCTCAACTAGCTCTAACCATGCTGCTGGAGCTTCACATTCCTTTCCCTTGTGCCTGCCTTGTTTATCAGGACAGTAAGTTCTTCAGGGTATCCCTATTGACTCAATTCCATTGTTAAACACAGAATCTAATGCCACTTGCAAYGACTTAGGGTCTCCTAGGAAGTCTCCACTGTTGCTCCACAGTACCCCAAGTTTACGTATTCTGAGTGATATCTACAAGCCCCAGAGAGATGCCTGTACTACCTCAGGGCATCAGGACCTATGTAATATTCATGATCTGGCTTCAGAATCAGGCCTCACMGATTCCACATAGGGCTTAGCACAAAGATATGCCCTGCAAAAGTCATAATGGAGCAGGTCAGCACTGTTCAAAACTACAAAAAGCTTCCCCCAAACAGGTCAACTGCCACTGCCAAGAAAGTTAAATGCTCATGAAGAACAGCAACATAGGCAGTTGAGGAACTGGTGATTAGATACAAATGAAGACTTTTTTAACATTTAGTTCCAGGTCAGCACCACTCAAGTCATACAATAGTTTATTGTTTGCTTTTAACTCAGTATAGGTATGATTARAAGCAAAAGCCTGACCAATTCAGCCTTAGAACACAGAAGCACCTAAATAAGAAACTCATTGCTTTGGTGGGATCAATATGCCCATTACCCTATCCCRGCCTGCCTTTTTGATTGCAGACATRCTCAACAGTGTCACAGCTGGGTTTACTAGAACTGTAAATGAAACAAGAGGACTTCAATCTGTTGCTTCTTTAGGCTCGTATTTCAGTAAGTGCAGAAAACGGTGCTATAGTGGCTGYTGGCAAAAATATGTGCTGCACCCAATTGCATTAATTTCATGCCCTACTAAGCCATCCCACAGGGAGATTTTTCACTCTGCCTGGAAGCAGGTCTCACTGCCTTTTCTAGCCTACCCAGAAGTGCTTCAGGAGGGAGAACAATGCTGTCTGTAACTGGCTTGGGGATATGCAGCCTTATTGTACCTCCAGTTCCCACACTGAGATGTCATGTTCCTCAAGTAAGTGCAAAATCTTGCYTTCTATTAAAGAAGGCTCCAGAGGTAACCAACAACTCAGCTGGTRACCAACTTCAGGGCAGTGCAGTGGTTTGGAGAGTTGCAGAATGCCCTCCTCTGGAGTTATTTACAGGTTAAGACAATTTTTACTTGGAACTTAAYTTTCCTTGAGGAATTATTAGCTAATCATAAAGAACAAAATAAAGGTTTGGGATCACTTTGTTAATAACAGTGCATAAACAAGGCAACAAAATCACGTAATTCTTGCAGTTCTTTCTATGTATAACTTCAAAAGAACAAAACTGAGCACCTCAACTTTTATTAAAACTGATTATTACTAGAATGCAGTAAACAGCTCACATTACATGACCAAAATGGGACTCACTACTCTTTACACAAATTGTCATCAGCACTCCATTTTGACATTAGAAAAAGGGTCTTGACCTACAGCACTCTCACTTTCTAGGCAMGCACTGGTGGAAGGAATCAGCCTGTCTCACTAGTCTAATTTTAGAAAATGAAAAAGCCATGAATAAATTCTCTTCCTTTAAATCTAGGAAACTAGTATATGACATATAAAAACACTTACTCATGAAAGAACTGAAGGGCTACAGCAGTACTAAACTGTTAAAGAAATAAAGTGGGCAACCTCATCTAGACAAATAAGTACTCATAATTTATTTTTAAGATGAAAAGTGGCAATTGTAGCCTAGAACAGCATTACAAAAACTAGAGTACAATACAACTTAGTTATACTTTTTAGAAGTTTTCCAAACAAGACCCATCTCTGCAACTTCAGATAAAGGTTTCTGAAGTCTGAGATTTTTCAAATGATCAGCTCTTCTCAGGACACACATTCAGTTTCATTGTTCACAGCTCAGAATGGAAAAAAAAATAGGCCTCTTGTGAGACTCTGTATGCTGCCTTGAAATCTTCATTCCCAGTTCTCTCCTTCATTCTAACAGCTATGAACCATTATGAACACTGCCAGCTAGAAAAACTGAATTTTCACAAGAAGGTTAAAAGTGGTGCAACCAAAGAGTGTTAGAACAGGACACACAGATGACAAATGAATCATACAGTATGATTAAGAGTTCAAATCTTTGAGACAAGGACCACCACTTAATTGTGGGGGAAGGTGGCAGAAAGTACTGAGCTCTGGAAATGCCTAAGGCTCCCTAGGGAAGCAGTATGGCTCCTACTTAAGCTCTCTTTCCTGGGAAGCTCTTWATTTATGTTTACACTGAAATAAACGGAACAAAACAGTTTATTTGTGGGGGAGCATCTGAGAGGGTGGTTAGTGCAGCCCTGGGGAGGCAGCAGGAAGTGGGATAACCTCAGAGCCAGGCCCAGCAGAAAGTACATGAGGAACATTAGTTTCCACATACACAGCTCAGAGGAATCCAGAGACACAAGAGAGGGAGGAAAAAGGAGAAGCCAAAAAAGAGGCAGTTTTGGTGTGGGTTTTTTTCAACTAGCCAATAAAGTGCCATGTTACTGAAACTATTATCTAAATCATAAATCCTCATGTATGACCTTCAACTTCAAGCAAAGGTATCAGAGTCAGTCAGAAGAAACTATGGTGGGAGAGGTGGGTAGTTTTGGGAGGTAATTAAACAACCTATCACTCATGGCTCCTTGATTCCTGACTGTCTTATCATTCCCAAATATTCAAAGATGCATTTACACTGCAGTGATGAAAGCTGCAGAACTGTCCATATCTAAGTGCAATGCAAGGACCACATAAATGGATTTACTTTACCTCTCACAGCTAGTTTAAATACAAGTCCCAATACCTAAACACAGGATAGCTTAAGCCAAGTTTGGCCTTTGGTTTAAGCACTGAGACTTCAGCTTCGTGCATGCATTCGCATGAGTTGAAGGACGGCTAGGAGCAGGAGGAGGCCTCTTTAGGGAAGGTTGGGAAGCAGCCACTGGAAAGTGGGAGAAGGCACACTGTGGTACCAGCCGCTGCTTTCTGGAGCTCGTCCCAGCATGTGCTGGCAGCGAGCTCTCCAATCCCTTTGCCAGCACATAGCTGCGCATCCCGCTCCTGCCAGCAATGGGCTTGGACGCCCCCGCGCGGCGCTCCCGCACCAGCACAGACCATCCGCCGCCACCGGGCACTGCCACACGCGCTTCTCCCATCCTCACACTCACGCACGAAAATAAARAACTACATCGCGCTAGACGGCTCAAGAGAAAACAGCAAACGCTCTAAAACCGTGTTTAATCACCTACAGCCATTCTTTGCGAGAGCACTAGAAGATCACCAACTTTCCAGCACTTCTCCAAGTTTCCTTTCAAGTCTTATTTCATCATCCCATTTTCATTTTTTAGCACGAGATTCTGATCAATTATACTGACACACAGTGAACTAAGATTCGACGGCCCCTGCCCTCACTGAGGCTTATGCTGAGAAAAACAAAACAAAACAAAATAACCAAAACAGTACCCAGCTTCCTTGCAAATAAGGAACGCATATTTCTTCCTTGAAACTAGGAATGAGTATTTCTCTCTAGCATGACAAAGCTGGAGTTTCCAAACAATACTCAAGAGACAATCAAAAAAGGTATCCCCCGTGCCTTACCAAAGCAGCTGCCACGATGTGAAAGAAAGCTTTTACAAGCTGAGGCAATGGACAGCTCAGCAGAAACTACGGTCTTGATAATCAGGTCCTCCACGTTGGCCATCAGTGCTGCAAGGAGAAGTGGGGGAGGAAAAAGGAAAATAATAGATTGTGAAGTAAACACACAATATCTAGAAAGGCATGAGAATATGCATGTGGAGAAACACCTTTGTGAATCAAAGCATATGAGACCTTATGGATGACAAAGCAATGATGCTTGGAAATCCATGCAAGCATAAGTATACAGAGACATGCATAAGTATCCTAGCGCAAAAATAGCCACAAATGGGAATGTGAGAATGATAAATATTAGTATGTGTACAGTGCAGGTAAATAGAAACATAGGGCAAACACATCAGCACAAGTCAGCTGGAGTCTGACCGCTGCCCACTCTGAATATTAGGAATGATTAAACAAGAGTTAAACAAGAGTGGGTTAATGAGATAAGCCTTTAAACTACAGAGAATAAGCCATAAGCACTGAGATATAAAAATTTTTCTTGTGAACTTCTATGGGACTACTATTCTGTGACACTGCACCTTTCTCTAAAGCAGCTGTTCTGATACCAAAATTCATAAATCTTTTCAAAATTATATGACTAGTGACAGCTCCCAATCCTGCTGACCTAYAGATAACCCTCAGCAAGAAAGCTCTTACTGCTCCTGCATGAGCCTGTGAACAGAGCTCAGGATCAGGAGTCTAAGCAGACAGAGGAAGCAAAAGGCAAGAAAAGATGTACATTAGACTTAGACCTGGATTAGGGATGAGTCATGCAACAGAAAGAACGCCATGGTGGTTTTGTTATCAAGGACAAACAATAGAGAAGTGAGAGGAGGAAGAAATGAACAAATACTAGAGTCATAGTCTCAAAAGCTAGTAAGGATGAAAGGACAGCCTTCCCCACCCSTCAAAGGAAACACAAGCAAATCCACACAGACATTGGGCAATCCCTGCATCAAAGAGTATCTTCTACAARCCACTTGACTAGAGAGTTTACTTTAGGTCTACAATTACTATTGCTCATGCACAGATGATGACATGCAGAGACCTGAACAATTACAGAAAGAGCATGCAAGCAAATTCAGATGTGAACTTCTGTACCAAAAAACAACTAAGTGAAACCAACACAGCATGGAAACATCCCAGTATACATAAACAACCCAGAGCACAAAAACCTTGCCAGCCCAGACAAGGCCAGAACTTTCCAGCCAGCATTCTGCCTCCCTATGACCAGAACCAGATGCATCAGAGAAAGGTGCGAAACTTCTTGTAATGGATAGTTGAAGAAAACTGCTTGCATTGCTCAGTAGTTTACTTAATTAAGAGCGTGTATTTTATACTTTAGGTTGGGGYGAGGTGTGGAGATGTATCAATATTAATAACTATGCATTCATAGCTTGTTGAACACATATGGTGCAAGGGATTGGACAGCCATGCATGCATATGATGGAAAAAAGTCTACTTCCATCTGAAYGCCAGATTCAAACCCCTTTCTCCAATATTCAAGTGTTCCCTGGCARCATTTGCAGTATGGGCTATAGATGCTATCAGTAGTTTTACTGATGTCTTGCTATCACAGGTAATTTATCCCTTAAAGGATATACCCGGATTCTGCTCTGCAGATGCAGTTACTCCCAGCAGACCTGGCAAAGGTGTGGAAGGGGGAGCTATTTTATATGAAACACAGACTAAATGAAAACACTCAGCAAAAACCTGAGCCATGGAAAGATGACACCACATCCAAGAGTCATTCAAACTGGCACAGCTGTCCAGAGGTTGGTCACTCATCAGACTGAACAGGCCATAGGAGCAGTAGAGGGAGGGAAGCTTTTAGAAGGAATGGAATGACCTTAAGAAAGGGGAAATGTAGGTAAAATATTACAAAACACACCCTGAGAAAGTCTCAGAATACTAGTTGCAAAAAGGAAGGGGTTAGGCCTTATCTCTGGGGGTAGAGAATAAACGCACAGCTCCAGTGAGTAAGGAACAATGCTTCCCTCCACCCTGCTCTGGTGCTAAATGGGACTCACTGRGGCTCTTCCTTGACTTTTTAGAACTCACACTAGTGAGATGATCAAGATCCAACAAAGAAATAAAAGAACAAGATTTCTACTGACCTGCAGTGTCTCTCCCCTCTTGTTTTAAGTACCTCAGCATTGCACTCATGCTCCACTTGTTTCCATAATCCTCTACTTCAGGATCATCACAGCTAAAAATAAATGAAAGAAGGAGATTGACACCACTGGCCTACCTCTACGGAGCAGCATTAGACGAACTGAGATAAAGTGACCCAACCTCTAGAGAACAAGTTCCATTTTCCAGCCAAGTACCTGACATAATCTCCACTCTTCTTGTTGACACTGTAGTTGGTCAGATGCATGAACTGGTTTTTAATGTTCTTGGTTGCATGGTCATACCTCACTGTTGCAAATCTGTAAAGAGGAATAAAAATACACAGTATTTCTTGAACAAGTGGCATTCTTCATTCTTTCTAGATACAGCAAGCATGTCACTACAACCACAAACTACAATACAGATTACTCAACAGCAACAGCTGAAGAGAGAATGCATGTAATGAGACTTCATCAAGGGCAACCTTTCCTCACAAAAAACACAGTTTATCCTCAAAGGATACATACAGGACCTTCAGTTTGTTTTCCAGCATCTTAAGAGCAGGGAGTTTTGTTGGCCTGGGAGTTTTCACAGCCTAACAGTGCATGCATGATGCTAGATTTTTTTTTTTTACTTCTTACATTTGTGGTCCTTGGACACTCTGGCCAAACAGGCCACATTGTTTCAGACAATCAATGTCACAGTAGGATGCACCATGAATACCTAAGACCCATTGCTACATATACATACCATTGTCAATATTTCCTGAAGTCTCATATAAGCACAGCTCAGTTTTTCATAAGGACACCTTAGGAAAGGCTGAGGGTGAAAACAGATTTCTACCACCAACTACACAGCCTACACCTGCCAAATCACTTTCTCAAGAGACATCCAGGAAACCAGGTTCAATGTACAAGCCAGACCAATTTCTGCAATAAGGCAGCACCTCCTCCAAGGTGCTGTCATTCTCAGGGACTACACAGCCCCCTTCTGTATCTCAAATACATCACCTAGCTGAGTACAGAGAAAAGAACTGTAGGAAGATCAAAATGAGGAGCAAGACAAGCTTATCTAGTCTCTGTATGAACCTGTTACAGCCAACAATACAGCAGTTAAATCAGCCTGTTTCTTACGGAAACAGTAACAACCTCTTTGCCGAAAGGCATTACCCTTACTGTAACCAAGCACCCCATCACCACTCCTTTAGCCATGTACTAACATCAGAGATGTTTGCGTTGAAATGAATCAAATAATTGATTCAACTGGAAAATAGTCCAGGATTTTCTTCTGTAAGGTGTTTTAGGTATTTTTGTTTTGTTTTCTATTGAGGTGCATGGAGGGGGAATAGAACGTAAAAGGGAGAAGGATGCCAAAGGACCAAGTACTGATSTGGCTACAAAATTTTAATTTTATACGCTTTTTTTTTCAATCACTGCAATGGCCACTGGAGCTATTTAAATTCTCTTTCCTCAGCTATCCACATTCATTTCACCAGTACAAAAGCACTTGTGCTGCACAGCAAGCCATCTAAAAGTTTTTACTAATCTATTTATTAAACCGGATCAGGTTCCTTCGTGGGTACAGATACGCTTGTGTTGACATAATACAATGGACACCACAAGCCTCAAAATGTGTACAGGAATACAGCACAAAACTGCACTGAACCAATTTAGTAATCTTATCAATAGCCCACCTCTTTAAGAAAGACAGAAAGACACCAATCAACTTTCTATCAGATGCAGGTACACCCTCTTTCAAACACAACAAAAAGTGGGCAGGGCCTCCATTTTAGGACCAGTTGACGAAACAATTTAAAAAAAAAAAGAAAAAAATCAGGCAGATGATAATACCACTTGTGGTGACATTTGCAAAATCTTRCATTTAGACAAGGACATGACATCAAGCAAAAAAATAATGTAACAGAATGCGAATATTATGTAATAGAGTAGTTGCAGTTGGAAGGGACCTASAATAGTCTTCTAGCCCAATTGCACTCATTTTCTTACACTACATCCTGATTGAATACATACTTTTGACCTCAGACTTGGGAGAAAAAGAAATTWAAAAAAAAATTGAGGGCAGAATCCAGAGCATTCAATTGGTAGAATGACCAGCATGAGCCCCTGATAATCACCATAGCTCATAACAGCAAGCATGTTCCAGTTCAAAAAAAACCCCAAACAACAAAAAATTGACCAGAGGAAAAACACCTTCACTCTGACAATCCTCCTGTACCACAAGAGCTTAAGATGCCAGTGTCTCAAAAGAGATAAAAGGGAGTAAGAAAGGGTAAGGATAGAGTCAAACACATGTTATCCAAAGAAGCCGCAGCAAGAGGAAAAGTGTGTACTAAGGAGAACAGGGTGAGCTGCACAAAAAGGGGAATAGAAATGGGAGAAGGTTCAATGCAGGAAAAAGGAGACAGGATTCAGGAAAAATGAAAGAGGGAGAAAAATTTGGACCATCTGGTCATGCAATGAAATAATGTCCAGAAAAGAATGCTCCTCCATTTTTTTTCATTAATAGTAATTTCTTTTCATCCTTCTCCAATTATTTTCCATAGTTCAGTAGAAGCTGAACTATACAAAGACAGCTAACAAGTTACACACACAAAAAAAAATCCTTCCTTTAGAAAGGACTGCCAAAAAATCAAAGATCTTACTGGTCAGTTAAAACAACGCCACTACTGCCCTCACTTGGTAGCCATTTTGAGAAATACCTGTTGCAATAAAAGCTATACCAGCAAATCCATGAAGATGCTTAAAATTATTCTTAAATACAAATGTGGAAGGAGGGGGAAAAATAAACCCCTCATGATATAATTAATTTTAAGTGGCAAGGTTAAAGGAGTGAAAAGTATTTTGCACCATATTTTTCTCAGCTTTAACTACATATGAAGTCAGAGCAGCTGGCAACAAAAGAGTTTGGAAGTTTGGATCTCTTTACACATATTTGCACAGCTTGAAGTATTTGAATCTCTTTTCAGTTTAACTGTAAGTTTCCTGGATTTGGCACTTCTGTTTCAAAAATAGTGACAAAAGCCCTATCAAATATTTTTTTCTTAATTATAATTTCATCATCTCCATCTTAACAATCATTTACTGGCAGCATGCTGAAAGTATTTGTTGAAATATACTGTCAGCCAAATCCTGGATGATATYAAGCACAATCAGAGAGCCATTTCATGTCATGGTTTCCTTGGTACTTCGAAGCAGAGAGCAATTAGGTTCACCACACTTTTCAGCTTATGCRTTTAATTTTTCATACTCAAATATGAGAATAAGAACCCCTGGCAGACACAGACAATACTCTAAACAACTGTATTTCTGTATCCTCAAATGCTTGCATTAGCTTCCTTCTACAAAGACCATCCTTAATTATTAGGTGGCCTGAACTCCACGCTCAGAGAATTTTACATTTCCACAGGGACTGTCTATTCAGAAGATACTTCACTGTGTTTTAGACCTTTCAGTACATAAGCTTTCTCTTTTACTAGGATGCTATTGTCTTGAAGGATGTAATGGGCAACTTCAGCAATGCACCAAAACCTTCCAAAATATTCAATTATTCATATCTACTATCAAAAAAGCCAAAGYTTTATATTTAGTTTTAAATGCTTAATACATTCACCCACAGCTGGTTTGACTAGCCTCAGGCTAAATGCAAGCCTGCAAATGGAAAATCCAAGCTATTTCTAGAGCTTCTATCAATAGCCTCTGGATGTCAGAATAGTAACAGATCAGAAGTACAACGCTAGCAATAGCCCACACTCCTTACACTTCTGTGTCTTGCACTTGCTTGAGATGGAGGAGTGTTACTTTCTCTGAAATACCAGTTACAATTACCTTCAGTACTCTTCAGTTCTACAGCTTTTCAGAGAGTACTTTACTGTATCTTTCTTCCACAGTAGTAACTATGCTACTCATTCACCACACTTGCTCTCTCCAGGGAGGACAAGAGGCTTACATGGGTCAGAATGTCTTGCTCCAGCAGAAATTTACCCATTATTTTAGAGAAACCAAAGTCGTAGGAAAAGGCCTTACAATAAAAGTAGAAAAACGATGCTTGTAAAAATTTCTAGGTGTTAACCTGAAATCAGAATAAACTCTTGAGGAGTCTTATAATCTTTTAGAAGATTATTTCATTTTAGGGCAACACTCTTTTCCAATTTCATTCTGGGCCACTACTAAGAATAGAATACATGTCGCTTAAAAGATAAGAGCCAAGATTCTAAGAGCAATTCAAAAACGATATGTTAAGCAGGGTCACAAAAAAAAGGACAAGCCTAAACAGAATTTACCACAAGCATATGCTGCAATATTCTGCATGAGCTGTTTTTCTAAACACTGAAGGCTTCATGCCCAGGTGTCTCATATTGCTGCAATTCAGCCAAAGAGTGATGAAGGCACAAGTACGTGAGTCCAGATCACCATCTGCCAGGATAGGACCGTTTCTGAGCCAAAGCATTACTCGTGGATGCTGCTATGTGGGAGCCTGCAATCAGACAGGAATCCAAGAGTTCTCCTAAACCAGAGGCTGGACTGTCCACACGTGGAGGCCCATCTTCAGCCAAAAGAGACTTTTATCAAGGGAAACTTATCAAACACTATCTTCTGCTTACTAATACCATCTCGCTCTCCTTCAAGCAGCTGTCATTTTCCCCCACTGTGATCTGTTCCTGTCTAAGTTCTGGACTATACCATAGGCCTTGCAATGCAGAGTCCCCAATAACACATTTAACAGACATTGCTGATAAAGTGTGTCTGGGTTGAATGGTTCAACAACTGGACTCACACTGCTTTTAATTCTTACACGGAATTTTCCTGTAGGACTTGTAAAGCGGAAAAAGGTACAATTTTCCACTATTATTAAGACAGGAAGGTTTCCTGCCACTTCAGTGCATTTTTCTGTCCCCACTTCATCTAAACCAGAGTTCTATTGTTAACATGAAATATTATGCAGCTAGCAAAAGAAAGGAATGGATGTCTGTTCTGTATCCACCATCAAAAGGATATCAACTCCGTTTTGGCCTGAATTCAGATTTGCTTTCTCTATAATACAAGTTCCAACCACCAGTTTTCAAAATTGAATGACTGARCTTTCTTTCACCTGCCAATGTGCTTGGAAAGGATGCAGAGGAGACAGATAGAAGATGCAAGAGGAATGGTCCTCTCTCACAGCATTAACCTGCRTCATCTCTGAGATACATATTACACAGAGATAGTTCACAGCGGCAAGAATATAGGAAGCACCTTCCCATGTCCTGATGTTATGTGCTACTTATATTCACTGTCGAAAATGAATTGCAAGTGATACCAAA